TTCAAAAAAGCTTTTTTACTTTGGTTGCCATGAAGATCACCAAATCAAGAGAATTCAAATTCAAGGTTCTATCAAGATTACAAGATAAAAGAAGATGAAAGATCAAGCTAGGAGTTTCAAAGGTTTCTTCATCTGACTAGGACAGATTCAAGAGCTGTAAAAAGAGATCAAGGAGGCCTTGGAGAAGTACGAAGTTGTCTACACTACACAAGCACAAGCATACACTTGGCTTCCTCTTGTGTCTAGTTGTTTCGCTCTTTTCTTTTTATTATTTTCTTTTTATCATTATAATGCCATCTAGCCATATATGTGACTAGTCCTCTGTTCCTAAGGATAAAATGACGTGGCTTGAGTTCTTGTTTATTTTAGGGAGTTTGTTAGTGTTTATATTTCAATCCACAAGTATGTTGCTTTCATGAATTTTCCTAGGTTAGGATTTCTATCTCTATGGATTGTTATTAAATTTGTGTTTTAGTTAAACAATTATGTTTTGAAGTTTTCAATGAATAAATTTTCAGTTTCCGCATAATTCTATGAGTGTTTATCTTAATGGATTTTACAAGTAGTTCATGTTCTAGGATTTTTCGATGGATAACTCTCTTCAAGGAACAAGATATAATTGTTTAATTGAATTCACAAGTTAAGTGATTTTTAAATGATTAATTGAAAGATGATTATATGCTAGCTCTCTAGGTATAATTATTAATTAATTAATTATGACTGAGATGTTATCTAAAATTTTTCCTTTTGACTTAGTAATTGTTTTTATACGAACTCCTTATCCTTTTAAACTGTGATAACTACTCATCAACATCCTTAGGAAGTGCATCATTCTAGTAAAGTCTTCATTCTTTTTACTTTCTTTTAATTATTGTTATTCCCAATTTATTTTTCTTAATTTATTTTCCAAAAAAAAAGTCAATCAATTTTCTTTCCGACTTCTTCCTTCTCTACATCATGTTTTTTTAATTAAAAAAGTTTTTAAAATTTTAACAAAGCTCCTCATAAAGAGAGACGACCTAGATTGACCTCTATATTATATAGGATTAATTTTCACGACAAGATGATCACCCACTGACAATTTAATAAATTCCAACTTAAGATAAGGTGTTTGTGACAGCGGTGTGAAAAAAAAAAAACTAAGAAAAATTGCCTCTAATATGATAAATACTATAGATTTAAATTAGCCTACTACTAGCGAACAAAAAACGGAGCAAATTGATCAATTGCTTCATTGCCAACTTCGTGTACAATATTCCGAGCTAGCACTAATTTTTTCCTAGGTAATATTAATGAGATATATCTTTTTGGTGGTTGTAGTTTTAATACAAAAATATTTATTATTTTATACAATACTGATATTTTACTGTCAGGTTCATGGTGAATTATGAGATACTGGATGACACAGGATCATACCATGTTATAACTTTTGACTGAGCCAACGCTATTTTTTTTTTTTGCTTTCTCCACAATAATTAATAATTAATTATTCCTTATTTGGTTTTCATTTTATTTTCGAGGAATTAGCTAATAATATTAGTGCCCTTAAGATATTATAGCATTATTTTTATCATAAAATATATTTAGAGAGAAAAATAAGTTAATAGAATTTAAAAAGACTAACATGCATTGTTGTTTCTTCGAAATTTTAATACTTAAAGTTCATTATTATATTTACAACTAAAATATTTAATATTTATTTTGCATTTTAGATTCGGAATAAAATCTTGAATAAATATTTTAAATTAAAAAAACTAAAAATCATAATATACATATGGGATCTTATATTTAAAACAGAAAGTAATAACTAAGAAAGAATGAACACAGGTTAATGATTCCTAATTTACATTGTTGATGGTAGTTATCAAATTAAATTATACGAGTGTATTTTAAATCTCAAATTGGAAAAAAATCTCAAAATTAAATAACTATTTATACATATAAAAGTGGATACTTAGTCTTCTATCAAAATTGAGTGGTTGAATCATATGTATACATAACAATATTACAAGTGAAGTCACTTGGTCTTTATATAATGCCATACGGTTAATTGTGATTATATTAGCAAAACATGTTACAAGAACATATAGAACGTTTAAGAGCAAATAATGATATTAAATGATAGAAATGTCACCAAAAAAAAAACCTTCAATATTACTTATAAAGAAACTTTTTATAATCTTATATTCTGAGCATATATATGATTTTTTTTTTTGGGTGACAGAAACATATATATGAATTTAACTAATTTAACTAATAATTATATAGTGATTGAACTTTTTATACTCTATGAAAAAATACTAATTCACACCCGTGCGTTGCGCAGGTACTGTACTAGTTTAAATGTGAAATGAAATATATTGATTTTCAAAGTTGTGTTGTAATCAAATTTTATTCAAAAACTTATTGCAAGTGTCTTATAGGAATAAAAAGTTGGAAATTTAAAATTAAAACGTGTTAACTATGAAATGACACATATTAATTGTCAAGGTTCTGCTATGATCAAATTTTGTTCAAAAACTTGTTACAATTGTGATTTGGAGACATAAACCCGTAAATTTAAAACTGAAACTTGTTAATTGTGTAATTAAACTTATTTATTTTCAAAGCTGTATTGTTATAAAGTTTTATTAAAAAACTTATGCAAATATGTGATAGAAAATTATTAATTTAGAATTAAAACATATTAACTATGAAATTAAACATGTTAATTTATAGTTCTTCTTTTTTGGTCTCTAATAAAAATGGTGTTAGAATCATTTCATAAAATTTTGAAATTCTTGTTGTAGGTCATGTGACTTAATTCAGAATTCAACATACTTGATGATCCAAATAAAAAATTGAATTATTTAAGTATCTTTTACAGGGTTTTCTCCAAAGCTCAAAAAATCAGACCGATTAGTAAACTGGATGAGACACTGGTTAAATGGTTAATGGGTTAGTTCGGAGTCAAATCAGAGTCAAACAGTAGTAATTAAAATAATATAATTTAATTAAAATGTATAAAAATATTCATATTTTAATTATAAAAAATACATAGTTTTTAATAAGCATTTCTTTTCCTTTCTTCTTCCCTTTTGACCCAATGAAATTTTCTTTTTTTTTTTAATTGTTTTGTCTTTTTTCTCTCTCCCACAAGAGCACACCCATTCCATCATTTCTAGGGGTGTTCAATTTGTCCCGTCCTGATTATCTCGTCCTAATCCTGGTGAGTTCGGGACGTGACGAGATAGGATAGAAAAAATTTCGGGACGAGACAAGTACGAGACGGGACAGGAACAGTGATCGGGATGGGATGAGACGTGAGATGGGGTTGTCCCGTCCCGTCCAGTCGCGGGGCCTTTTTTTTTTAAAAATTTATTTATTACTAATTATTATTAGATTATTCAATTTACATATTAATAATAATAATTATTATTTTTATAGTGATTTTTAGCTCTTAAGTTGTAGTGCTATCTTAACAATATCTCATTTCTCAATAAAATAATTCACAAAGCCATTATATGGTGTTTCTTTTACTGTATTTTTTTAGTATTATTTTTACACCTTTTTTATACTATATAATTGAGCTTTCTACATAATATTTTTTATAATGTTTTTATCTTTAAAAGCCCAATAAAAAATAAGCATTATAACATAAAAAAATTCATATGAAAAATTATATTTTTTTTTAAAAAAGGGAGAGGACGGGCCTGTCTCGGTCCCATCCCAGCTCGTGAACACTGCTAACCATTCTCATCAGTTTTTTGTTTTGTTTTCTGTTTTACTGAACATAGCTGATATTGTCTCATTAATTTCTTCCTTGAACATGTATCATCAGACCTCATTTTCCCCTTCTTATTTCTCTTTTTCCCTCACTTTCTCTCTACGTATACGCCTCATCCATCTCTCTCCCTCTTATCTTCCTCATTTCCTTCCCATCTTTCGTGGGTAGAGGCAGAGCACAAGCTTCTCCGACGAATGGCAAGGGCGTGAAAGAAGGTAAGAAAACAACCGGCGACCAGCCTAACCCAATAGGTTTCCTAGTTTTTTCTCAGTTTAAGCAGTTTATGCCCAAGTTATTACGTGCTAATCGAGGGCGGTTTACACACTACACCAGATCAGACCCAAGGGCAATTCATTAGTTTCTAGTTTGAACTAGTTGGTCCGATCTAGTTTTTTTTTTAACTCAGGTTTTTCCAAAAAGATTTGTTTGGTAAGGGGCACTTGATGGGGAAAAAAAGGGGAAATTGTAATAAGGTTCTACCTAAAATACAAAAATGTCCCTTAAAATTATTAAGTTAGTTTGAAGTTTCAAAGGATTTTATTGTAAGAGATTTTATTTATTTAATTACCGAATTGCTCTTATTTATTTATTTCTAATTATACATTGATAATTGAAAGAGTAGTCGTTGACAACTTAAGGTGTAATGATTAACAACTATTACGATAGGTATTAACAACATATTTTTTCAACGCATAACAAATATGTAATGCATAAATTGTTAATATCTGTCACGATATTTGTTAATTGTTATACTTTAAGTTGTTATTGATTACATTTTTAGTTGTTAATGCATATTTTAAAAAAAAGAACAATTTCATAATTAAATAAATAGAATCTCTTGTAATAAGATCTCTTAGGATTTCAGATTAATTTGATAATTTTAAGAGCTTTTTTGTACTTAATTTTTTAAAGTGGACCTTATTATAATTTTTCAGGGAAAAAAAAAAAAACCCAAAGAAAAGAACGTTGCGCCTATACCCACGTGCAATTTCCTTGCGTGCGCACGGAAGCGGCAGCGGGTTGCCGGCGATCAACAAAGCGATTCTTTCATAGGACAAAGAAGACGTTAACATACTTCAGGTGCTTGAGCCTGCAATTCATCGTCGTCGTAGATTATGGAGCTACTCTTCTCTCTTCTCCTTCTTTGTTCTACAATTTTATCTCTGTCTCACCATTGTATTGCCAGGGGTGGTTTATGGAGCTCTCTCCATTCAGGTCGTTGTCTCTTCAGTTCCTTGGAATAGTAACCTTTATCTCAGCATCTTCTATATTATTCTTCTTGGTTTCGAGGAAAGTTTTGAATTGATAAAGAATTGTGAACTTGGAGCCCTAAATTTATTAATAAGCACTGAACCGGGGAAATCTGATTCCTTTCTCAAGGAAATCTGATACGATGAATCAGTTCCGCGAGGAAGTAAAGTTATATGTAGAAAATTGGCGCATTTATCTATCTATTTTTTAAACTTTTGTTATATCTTCATATTATAAGGCTTAAACACTAGTGGTGGTGCAAGTCATGCAAGGCATTTGTTTGAAGACCATGAAAGTCAGAGTCAGACAAGGTAATCGCTATGGAACTTTTCTTAAGTAGCTATGACACGGTGGTTGTTTTCCCCTGTTGTGCATTAACTTCAATTCTGTTTCTCCCATCTCCCGAAGTGCTTTTGACTCGTCTCGCGGGTACATGACCAATTCTGACCTTGAGATGGCAATAAAGGATTTGGGACGAAGGTGCAGCAACATTACTAGAATATACAGGTGATTCCTCACATCTGTGCTTTACTGATTATCCATCTCCAAATTACTTTTCTCCGGATGACTTCCACAAGATGTATATTAATAGTAGCTTTCATGAATAAACGGATCTCAATAAGTTTTTTCCCCATGTTATTTTGGCAATGGATAAACTGACTTGTGATTTGTTTCTCTCTTTGAGGGATTTTTTATCAGTATTGGGAAGAGTGTGAATGGAGTCCCCCTGGTAATTTTCTTTTTCCCTTTTCCTCCTGTTCTTTTCATTTTCACCCTTTCATGTGCAATTTATTCGTGACTTAAATATCTTTTAAGATGTGAGTGGCGCTTAAAAATCTTAGTAGTAAGTGATTTTTATCACATTCGTTGCATGTAGTGGGTGATAGAGATTTCTGACAACCCTGGCGAAGAAGAGGCTGAACCTGCATTTAAGGTGAGTGGTTGTACAGCATTAGTGAAGCAGCCATTTCATTGTTTTTGGTTTAATTCATATTAAGACGTATTGACACATAGTTCAAGAAAATCCAACAAGGAGACATAGGGAATTACTATAGTATGGACATGACATGTTGACAGGAAGACATAGAATCTTGGAACAACTTTTCTAATCATTTTAATCTCACCATTCCTTATAGATCTTTGAAAGTGAGGAGAAAATAGAATGATCATATGTAATAGTAATTGTTCGGTGCGATCTATATAGCCAACTCCACCTAGTGAGAAAAGGCTTGTTGTTGTTGTTGACACGTAATCATATCCCATATGTATATTAGGGCAAATATTTTTATAAGTCTCCTATGCCCTATGGCTTCCTTTTTCTTGTTACGGGGAATCAAGATTGTAACATTTTGAAGAAAATTTAACATCTAATTGCAAGACCTTAGTAATGTGCATGCGTAAGTTTTCTGAACCTGGCTGGACTTATGGATAAAGGGTTTAAATTATTTAGGTGAAAGAACTCACACAATTGCATAGAATTAATAAAGTTTTATGGTAGTTGTATGGATACTGCAGTTGTAATGAGCATGTTAGGCCATGGAAACCATTTGCATCCCACTAATCAACCTAGGGGGCAAGATGAATTTTTTCAACCAAGAATGAGTATTTTTTCAAAATATTTCTAATTTGAATGAGCACACTTACGTTGCAAACCTCATAAGTTGCCTTCTTTAAATTAACTCTATAGATGTTCTGTAAGAATTGACAGTACTTGCTGTTTGTATTAGTTGTTCCTATGACGTTTGTTAATTATAGAGCTGGTAGTTTGTCGAATGATCTCCAATTCCAAATGAACCTGCAAATTCTATAGTATAAATCAACAAATCATGTCTTTTTGAAGATGTAACCCTTATAAGATCCACCATCATGTTGAAGTAGTTTTTTTAATAGATTAACTTATATGAAATACTAGTATTTTCTGAAATTCCTTCATACATGAAGGAATCTAACTTGTATGGGGAAGGGAGTACTAGACAGGGAGCTGTCATTTGAATCTTAACTGTTTTAGAGGCTAATTTTGCTGGTTTTCATAATTTAGGACTCTGACATGGTCTTATGATAGAAATATAGTGATAATAAATTACTTATGAATGCCTAATACCCAAGTGGAATGTGGAATAGGAAATTTCCATGAAAGCCAGTTATTGGGACGAGAGAGCTAAACCATGAAAACCTGATGCGAGTATCCCGGTGTGATTTAGGCATCTTGCACTACTTTACTTTCCATCAATTGGATCTCTTTAGAGGGTTGATGTCTAGACAACTACACTTTGTGAAACTTTGCTTATTGATGCTTAACCTTCCACTAGCTAGAACACCTTGGAGGTTGCCTTTTTTAAAATTATCAACAACTTAGCTTTGATACCAATTTATATGCACCCTTGAGGAATGGAGAACCTACTCTAGAAAGCTAGAAGCGGGAAAACCTACCCACTTGGATACTACTTAGAGCATCCCATGCTGTGCAATGTGGGAATTAGGCTTCCTGTATGACCTTACTCTTTGTCAGTGTAGGACGTGTAGTGATACATTATCATGCAAAGGTTACTATAGAAACAACTGTTGAAGTGTGCATCTCCAATTTGCAAGTTGCAACAGCCTCTATTTCACCAGAGGCCTGTCACCTTAGTTTATATTTTGTTGGTTTTTGCATTTTTTTGTAATAGAAATATTTTTATTTCTGAAAAATATTTTATCTTCTTTTTGGCTTATTTATCTTAAGTTGCATTTTTGATGGTACGTTCCACTCATGAGGGCAAGGTAATACACGTAGAAAATTAAGTAGTGTAGATGACTTTACACATACATGGGTCACATAGCTGTAATTTCCATCTCTGAAGTCTGAATGCGTCTGTTTGATGGCATATTTAGACATATTTGTATAGTTTTATGTTATTTTCTGGTTATCTTTTATTTCTATGATTGATTTACTAATAATGCAGTATATTGGAAACGTACATGGAGATGAGCCTGTGGGTCGTGAGCTTCTTATGTTTTTGGCAAATTGGTTATGTGATAACTATCCAAAAGATCCGCTGGTATTTAATGTCCTTATGCCTTTTTCATTGTTTTAAAAATAAAATGTTGGCTGTGATATCGTTGTTTTTTCTATCTTGTTTGCTCTAGTATGTCTACCTTGCACAAATTCTTTCATTTGTTCTTGCAAATTGGTTTTGACTCTCATATTTATCAAGATCTTATATCAAGACAATATCTGATGCATGTAGTTTGGCAGCCAGCAACAATTCCCTTCTGCATTAAGAGATAAGATTGAGTCATGGAATATGATCTTTTTGACTTTTATTGGCAATAGTCTGCTAAAATACTTAGAAAGACTTTCATTCGATTGGTAGTCATCGTTTTGGGAAGAGAAAGGAACATAAGCTACACTATGCTCCTCTATGGGGTGTCATCCATTTGGTTAGAGCATTATGCTTGTGCTTTTAATTTATGTTTCCTACCTTTATATTCTATGGGATAGGCTTGTTATTTTGTTGTCTTTGCTGACTTCACCTACTCTTCTGTGAGAGGGGGTTCTTGAAACTTGTATAATTTCCTGTCTTCTTTAAATGTTTGACACTGAAATGTTTCAGGCAACATTGATTGTGGAGAACATTCACCTTCATATGCTTCCATCTTTGAATCCTGATGGCTTTAGTTTGAGAAGACGTAATAATGCAAATGATATTGATCTCAACAGAGATTTTCCTGACCAGGTAAATTTCATTTTGCTATTTATACCTTTCTTCCCTTTTAAATGATTGTCTCAAGTTCTTTATCAGGATGAGTTTGGGTTTTTATTTTAAAATCATTTCATCCTTTACATGATTCAATTTTATTTCAACCTAGATTTGTCCATATCTAACCTGTGAGTAGTCATCCAAGCTTAAAGGTTAAGAGATTGATTGATGAGAAAGGCGATTGGAAGAAGACCCTATGGGATTGAAGTAATCAATACCCCTTTCAGTAACTACGAGTTTTGGACAACTTAGTTCGTTCAAGTTGAGCATGATGTATTAACATCATGGTAACATAGTGGAAGTTACCCAAGAAAATGGGTTCTTGGAGTGCATTACATTTATTGCTTGAATAATGGCTTCCTAAATATGATGCTAAAACAAACAATCATTTTCTGTTTTTGTTAAAAATCACGTGGTTAATAGAATTTATGGTTAATTTAATGATGGATTATCTGCTGGCTTTTATTATGTTTTCTGGTGAAAATTCTTTCTTATTCTTTTTCTTTTTCAAGTTTCAGTTTAGACTTGTAATGTGAATATCTGTTGCTAGTTAATATTCCGTGATTTTCAATCATTAGGTGGGCAAATTCTATGTAAGAACCGCTATGAATTTTTGAGGGTTAATGGATTGAAATCAATTGCTGGTTTTCCCCTTTGCTATCACTGTATTTTGCATGGGACCTGTTGTTTATTAATTGGAATGTCCTTTTGGCATGAAACTACAGTTCTTTCCCATCAATGAAAATGAAGATGCACGCCAACCTGAAGCAAGAGCCATTATGAATTGGTTGAGAGAAATAAAATTCACAGCATCTGCCACTCTGCATGGGGTAATATATTTTCAGTATGCAAATATTGTTTATCTTAAATTTCTTATTATTTTTGTGCTGTATTGCCATGAACTTTTTGCTTAACATGCTGGGCTACTCCTTTTATCTATTATGTTAAATACTGGCTATCTTCAACTTCAGAAATTCTTGCTTTCTCTCTATCTATCTTCTGCTTTAGAAGAAACTTAATGCACAAATTGGATTATATTTATATGGGCTTGAGTAAATTTTCCCATTGGCTTGATATTGATTCTGACTTGCTGCCGACTTTGTCTTAATGGATGTTGTATTTAGATGCAGTAGACATGAACTGATGAGATTTTTCTTTCAAACTCAGGGTGCACTTGTTGCAAATTACCCTTGGGATGGCACCCAAGATAAAAGGTGGGAAACAATTTTATTTTCCTAAAAGCTTTTTATGATATTTTATTATGCACTTGTTCTGTTTGCTTTGAATTTTATGCATTAGGACACACATACACTTGTGCACATGCACATTACACTTCTGCAAAAAATGCGTATGGATGACTGTGTGCTGATGTGCATAGATATTTGTGAATTTGAGATCAATTAAAATTTTATATTTATAGATTGTGGTTTTAAAGATTTGCTGTTGAATGGAAATGTGTGATGAACTTTCGTTGATTTGTGGTCTGTTTAGTGCACAAAATACAACTGATCTTATTGGTTTAACTGCAAACCAGCATGAGTTAGGGAAGGATTGTTGGTCTATTTAAAAATGGGCTTTTCTGGCCTGTCTAGGTCTATTTTGACAGTGCTACATATTTGTTTGGAAGGCTCCTTAATAGAAAACATGGGGCTAACAGCAAGAGAGCCCTTAAAAACAGTGGGGTCAGAGTTGTCAGACTACTAGGAGGGGCCTTAAAAACAGTAATATCACGTAACAGCTCCAAGATGGATGTGTATTATTGAATATTAAAATCTATAACAAGTCTCATTATTCACAATCCATGAACAGTTTGATTCATTTCTTATATCCCATGCAATGCGTCTGAAAACAAGTCTATTTGAGAAAATATCAAAGACAAGACCAATTTGCTCCTGCCCATAATATAGAGAACAACATAGACAACACACTGCTAGAAATCCTTTCCCTCCTTAGCCTTACTAAAGTCCATGATGTTTGTGAAAAGAAACTCTGAGCTGGGGGTGCATATCCAATAATGTGTAAAATGCCAATAGCCTGCTCAAAATTGGAAGTGGTTGTAGGGCATTGTGAAACAAATGGGGACTCTTTGCAGTATGTGTTTTTGCAGGGATGTTTGATGGGGCTCCTTCTAATCTACCCATCTCATATTGAGTTTTACTTTTTAAACACATAAATACAGGACAAATTATTATGGATGTCCAGATGATGATACATTTCGATTCATGGCAAGCATATATAGTCATTCTCACTACAACATGTCTGCAAGCACAGAATTTCCAGAGGGAATCACAAATGGGGCAGCTTGGTATGGAATCTGAAATAATGCTTGAAATTCATTATTGATTCACTTCATTGTTTTCCTAGTTCATCGATTATTACAGAAGACACTAACTGCAGGTACCCCATATATGGAGGCATGCAAGACTGGAACTATATCCATGCTGGCTGTTTTGAATTGACCTTGGAAGTTAGCGACAACAAATGGCCTAAGGCAGCTGAGGTGAATTCAGACTTTTCCTTTTAGTGCTCTTAAAATTTAAAAGTATATGTGATGGAAATCTGACCTAAATATATTAATATAAGCTGTGATAATATTAAGCAGAAGCAAAATCACTGATTAGCCTTCAATCTCGGTGGGAGAGTTAAATACTAGAACCAGCATACACAGCTTAGCAGCCCACTCACTGTAAAATAGAGCAAAGGAAAACAAGAGACACAATGAAACCTCTCGGGCCTCACCCTGCGTGGCTGGTCTCTTCTCACAGTTTTTCCATACTCCCCACACATACCCGCACTACCAGTATATGTGAGAATTCTTTAGTCTGGTTTCTCCTTTCTATGCCAACTCATCTCTCTTATTTGTCCTGTTGGCTATTCAGTCTCTATTGGGCCTTGGGCCATGCAGATGTGTGCAAATCTGTGTGATTCTTTCTTTTAAATTTCTGTTTATTAGAGAGATCATGATTCCTTTCCTGATATATCTTAGGATTTGATTTAGACTCCTAGAATCTCGGCCTGATCCTAGTATCTTGCCTAATCCCTAAAATCCCGGCCTAATCTCCTCATTCATTGAGGGAATTGTATCTATTTAAGTCTGCCATTCTATTCGAATAAAGTACAACTTCAGAATCATTAGATTCTTCATGGTATCAGAGCAGAGATGATCCGGTTTGGAATGGGCTTCAACAATGATGGCCAAAACAACCCTAGGGTTTCCGTAAACAGCCAATCAAGGCCAATGACAACAGCGACTGGTTCTACCAGCCACCAGAATTCGATCGGATTGATGGCAACAGCAACTGGTTCTACCAGCCACCAAAACCTGATCGAGTCAAGCCCTACATCTATCACAATTCATCGGCTCAACGGTGAAAATTATATGCAATGGTCATCTAGTGTTCGGTTATATATTATGGGCAAAGGCAGATATGGATACTTGATTGGTTCTGTCCAGAAACCAGCCGAAGGTGATGAAAAGTATCCTACTTGGGAAGCTGAAAATTCCATGGTGCAAGCTTGGCTGATAAACTCCATGACAACTGAAATCAGTGCTCACTTCACATTTTTCCAGACTGCAAAAGAGGTCTGGGACGCTGCAAGGGACATGTTCGCTGCACTGAAGAACAAAGCTGCCATTCTAGAAATAGAAAGATTTCTTCATGATTTCAAAAAGGGAAGTCTTTCTATAACCCAGTACTACACTGACCTAGTCATTCAATGGCAACAGCTGGACATGTATGAATCTTATGATTGGAAGTGTACTGGAGATGCAGCTCTCTATGCAAAGATAAAAGAAGAGAAAAGGGTCTTTAAGTTCCTACTCGGATTGGATGACAGCTTTGAAGAAGTCCGAGGAAGAATAATGGGACTTAGCACATTGCCACCTCTAAGGGAAGTATTCTTCACTGTTAGGAATGAAAAAAGCAGAAAAAGACTTACTTCCACCGAATTGAGGAATGAACCAAGTCAACTGAATGCCCTTATGTCAAAAGGGGGTCCCCAAGATGACTCCAGAAAACAGAGCAAATGGTGCGACCATTGCAGAAAAAGAGGCCACACTAGAGAGGTGTGTTGGAAACTACATGGGAAACCTTTGAAAAAAGGGAGACAGGATGGCCGAGGCTTTGTTGGAAAAACTGATAACAAGAAAGAACCAGAATTCAGCAAAGAAGAACTGAATCTAGTCAGAAAATTCCTGGAAAAACATGATGCCCAGGAAACAACCCTTGCTGCAGGTTATGTTGCCCACACAAGTAAAACCATATTAGCACTAAAAGCTGACATACATCATTCAAGACTCTGGATTGTGGATTCAGGTGCAACAGATCATATGACTGGGAACAAAGAACTTTTGACTGAAATAAGACCATGTCCCATAAATATCTATGTTAAAGTGGCTGATGGTAAAGCCTTAAAGGTTGAGGGCCTTGGAATCGCATATATAACCCCAGAAATAATTCTGCATAATGTCTTTTATACCCTGGATTGAAATGCAGTCTACTTTCTGTAATTACTATTACTCAAAATCAGAATTATGATGTTCATTTCACTGCTACTCAATGTGTTTTTCAGGATCTGAAGCGAGGGAAGATGATTGGCACAGCTAAGATCCTAGAAGACCTCTACTGTTTGGAAGTTCAAGAGAATCAACACAAAGGAAATATCATCAAGTCTGTGACACATTCCTCTGTTTTTTCTGCTACTTCAGAAAATAAAGATGCTTTGTTATGGCATTATAGACTAGGGCATCCTCATTTTCATTATTTGTCCAAGTTATTTCCTCAATTTTCAAACAAGAATGATTTATCTTTCATGTGTGAAGTCTGTCAGCTCTCAAAACAAACCAAAGCAACTTATAAACCTCACTCACATCAATGCACAAAGCCTTTTAATCTTATTCACAGTGACATATGGGGGCCATCTCGCCTACCTTCTCTCACTCATGCTAAATGGTTTGTTACATTCATTGATGATCACACACGACTTACCTGGGTATTCCTAATGAAAGAAAAATCTGACCTACCTGCTACTTTCATCAAATTTCACAAAATGATCCTAACTCAGTTTCAAACCCAAATTCTTACCCTGAGAAGTGATAATGGACGAGAGTACATGTGCCAAACCCTACAAAAATACCTTCAGGAACATGGGATTATTCATCAAACTAGCTGTGTTGACACCCCACAACAGAATGGGACTGCTGAACGCAAGAACCGTCACTTATTAGAGGTTACCAGATCTCTTATGTTTACACATAATGTCCCTAAACAGTATTGGGGAGAAGCTCTCCTTACTGCCGTTCACTTGATCAACCGACTCCCATCCAAAACCCTTGATTTCCAAACGCCAGTAAACCTTCTCACCAAAACCTATCCCTCTAACTCCCTTACCCGTGACCTTCCCCTGCGAGTTTTTGGATGTGTAGCATATATTTATCACAACCATGGCAGTAAACTTGACCCAAGAGCCCTAAAGTGCATCTTTTTAGGCTATTCTTCTACCCAACAGGGGTATAAATGCTACTCTCCATCCCTACGTAAGTTCTTTGTCACTATGGATGTTCAATTTGATGAGACCCAAGCCTACTATCCAAAATCTCCCATTCAGGGGGAGAATTTCAGAGAATGGGAGCTTTTACACCCACAACACACCCAACCTACCATACCTACCAGTGCTGCCACACTAGAAACAGACACTTCCACACCAGAACCAGAAGTTTCTACACCTGACACACCCACAACAGAACCTGGAATGCCCCTAACAGCACCTCCTACACCTGTACCTGATCCTCAACAGCATTTTGTACCAGACTTTAACACTAGTTCTGATCCACCTGAAACCAACCTGAATACACTTAACCCTAGCATGATGCCTAACAATGCAGTACAGGACAGTGATGATGACCAAACAGATGCAGATTCTGATAAGGAGCATGAGGCAAACAGTAGAGGTTCTTCGGGTTCTGGGCAAAGCCAAGAATCAACCCAACCTGAGGATCTTGGATGGCCCATTGCACTTAGAAAAGGGGTAAGGAAGTGTACTCAACACCCTATCAGCCATTTTGTATCCTATGATAAGCTATCACCATGCATGAGGACTTTTGTTACTAGCATTGACAGGGACCAAATTCCCAGAACTTTTGATGAAGCTGCCAAGGATCCTAAGTGGAAGGCAGCTATAGATGAGGAGCTGCAAGCACTTGATAAAAATCAGACTTGGAAGATTGTCAGCCTCCCACATGGAAAGAAGGCAGTGGGGTGCAAATGGGTCTTCACTATTAAATATAATCCAGATGGGTCTATAAGCAAGTTTAAAGCTCGACTAGTGGCTAAAGGTTTTTCTCAAACAGAAGGGATTGATTATCAAGAAACATTTGCACCAGTGGCGAAACTAAACACTATAAGGATACTGTTGTCCTTAGCAGCCAACCTTGATTGGCCCCTTCACCAACTTGATGTTAAGAATGCTTTTCTAAATGGGGATCTCGAGGAAGAAGTGTATATGAGAATTCCTGAGGGACTAGCAGAACATGGAAATCTGAAAGCTGCATGCAGACTGTATAAATCCCTTTATGGTCTCAAACAGTCTCCAAGGGCATGGTTCGAAAAATTCACGAAGGTAGTGAAGAAATCTGGTTATATGCAGTGCCAATCAGATCATACATTATTTGTCCGACATTCAGAAAGAAAGGTGTCTATCCTAATTGTGTACGTAGATGACATTGTTATAACCGGAAATGACAGCAACGAAATAGCAAGATTAAAGAAGATTTTGGCAGCAGAATTTGAGGTGAAAGACTTGGGGAGTCTAAGGTATTTTCTTGGAATGGAGATTGCCAGATCAAACAAAGGGATCTCAATGTCACAAAGAAAGTACACGCTAGACCTACTTAAAGAAACTGGCATGTTGGGAGCTAAACCATCATCAACACCTATGGATCCCTCGGTCAACCTCGAATACAAAACAGATGGTGTACCAGTTGATGCAGAAAGGTACAAACGATTGGTAGGAAAACTTATCTACCTATCACATACAAGACCAGATATTAGCTATGCAGTGGGAGTGGTTAGTCAATTCTCTTCACAACCACAAGAACAACACATGGAAGCAATATATACTATCCTTAGATACTTGAAAATGACACCTGGAAGAGGGGTTTTCTTCAAAAAGGGAGAGTCAAAAGACATAATAGTATATACAGATGCAGACCATGGAAGATCTCTTGTTGATAGAAGGTCAACAGGGGGGTACTTTACATTTGTTTGGGGTAATTTGGTAACTTGGAGGAGCAAAAAGCAAACTGTGGTTTCTAGAAGCAGTGCAGAAGCTGAGTTAAGGGCACTAGCTAATGGTGTTTGTGAAGGAATATGGATCATACGTGTCCTAAAAGAAATCAGAATCAGTGTTAATATCCCAATTAAGTTATGGTGTGATAGCATGTCAGCACTACAAATGGTTCATAACCCTGTGCACCACGATAGAACAAAACAAAGCATGTTGACATTGATCGGCATTTTATAAAGGAGAAGATTGAATCAAAAATCATTGACCTATCTCATATAAATTCTGGGTCACAAGTTGCTGATGTCCTTACAAAGCCACTAGATCGAGGCAAGTTCGAAAAATTTAGAGACAAGCTGGGAATGTTTGATATCTACATTCCAGCTTGAGGGGGAGTGTTGGCTATTCAGTCTCTATTGGGCCTTGGGCCATGCAGATGTGTGCAAATCTGTGTGATTCTTTCTTTTAAATTTCTGTTTATTAGAGAGATCATGATTCCTTTCCTGATATATCTTAGGATTTGATTTAGACTCCTAGAATCTCGGCCTGATCCTAGTATCTTGCCTAATCCCTAAAATCCCGGCCTAATCTCCTCATTCATTGAGGGAATTGTATCTATTTAAGTCTGCCATTCTATTCGAATAAAGTACAACTTCAGAATCATTAGATTCTTCATGTCCTTTTCTTTCTACAATAATATTGGGCTAACGTCTCAGGCCCAATATTCCCCTAGATCCATCCATAGGCTAATATAAAAAAAATGTACCTATGTCAGCGAAAGTGAGGACCCTTCCATGGGCTAAACATAGTTCATAAAACATGCTGAGCTGTTGGTACATCTCCAACTAATGCTATCATTTACTATTTGCAAAACCCCTTTGGAAATCTAAAACTTCATTTAAGTTCAATTTATGGAATTATTACATCTGAAGAAATTGTTACTTAATATGAATAACACTTACGATAGTTTTATAGTGTAATGCTTTTCTCTTCTGGTGCCACCCCTGTATTTTCTTGTCACTTTGATATCCATTGAGCTGCTATGGGATTGGATGGTTTTTGAAGAATTTTACTATGAAATTTCTTCAAAAAAGAAGCTTTAATATAAAGAGGAAGTAGGCTAGTAGCCTCAAAAAATTAGCCAAAAAATCATTTGCATCTAGGAAGTATTGATAAGAGATTGGCCGAAAAAAAGGACTTACTGATATGAATACATGTATCATGTAGGACACAATATGATATTTGTGATACGACAACAATTTTTAAAGTTTTAGGATGTGTGCATGTTCACTTAATTTAAAAAAAAAAAAAAGGGATGTGTGTATGTGTGTATGTATTCAACAATTAGGACAAAAATGAACAACATAAAAAAAGATGAGTTTTAAGCAAGTATTTCAAACTTAAAATAGATGTCAATAACAAGTTATCAATAAAAGCATAACACAAACTAAAACTGCAATTTTCAATTCAAACTAAATTTCGATCATCATCTTCATTTATATTATTTCATTTTCATGCTTCCTCTTGGCCAGAAGTAAAGTGACTTGAGATACTGGGGCAAATAATCTACATGTTATTGGTGATTTTTTGTAGGAGTTATTACCTTTTTGTTGTTTAATTTTCAGCTTCCTGTTATCTGGAAGTACAACAAAATGAGCATGCTTAATCTTGTTGCAAGTCTTGTGAAGGTAAGCTATTTCTGTTGATACCTCTTTACCCCAAAACATAGAAATTAATATTCTAGTTCCATGTCATTTTCATTTGCTTTTATTTAGAATCTTAAAGAAGACCCTTGAATAGTTCCTGAAAATTAATTTTTGATCTTTTATTATCGATCATTATAATCCATTCCATTAAAGAGAACTCACCTTTGTGCTCAGGGAAGATCCAGAATGATAACATGTAAATGTGCAAACCAAGAAACAGAAAAACAGAAAATTGCAATATGAAATTGAACCATGTAAAACTTCCAAGAACCATCCCTGAGCAGCAAAGGACTTAGTGCATGGAGTGTGATGTATCATTTGTGATTAACATGTATAAGGTAGTTAAGGTTGTTATGTAGTCACAAGGTAGTTGACTTTCTATCAGAAGCTATGTTTTTGTGAGTAATATTCAGTGCACTATTGAGCTATCTCTTTCATTCTCTCTCTGCCTTTCTCTTCCCTCTTCCTTCTTCCCTTCTCTCTCTTCTCACCTCTTTCTCTCTACCACTATCCGTCAGAATGAAACAATAATTGCAGGACGATTCTCCTCAAAGGAACTAAAAATCTCATCTTATAGTTAGAAATATGGCTATCGTGTTTGAGCATCCACTCCAAACACAAGGAAATTTGCAGCAAAGCCAATTACACCTAGCTTAGTACATATTCTGAGAAATTTTCCCAGAATAAGATTCAATATTTCAATTCATTTATCAAAAAACAGAGTACGGAAGCCTTTTAGGATACTTTTATTCACAGGTTGACTATTCTGCCCTAAATCACGTAACTAATCAAGTGAAAGAATTCCTAATTTTGATTCCAATGTAAGCAGCCAAACTCTTTAGTAGAGTAAACCAGAGCTGAGAAAAATTTGAAAAAATAAACAAAAGAATAACAATGTAACATGGGCCTATGGCTCTGCCCATTCCAATATGGAAATACAACAAGAAATCTTATGAAATAAGGTCAGCTGCATTTTCATCACAAAAAAAAAAAGGGTCAGCGGCATGCGTTGCATGATGACATTATACTTTGGTCACAATCAACTCTTTAGATATACCACATACCATCGACCAATGGATATGCCATTCCAACATATTCCATACCAATAGGAAATCCCAAAGATCATTTCAGTTTAGGCATGTTTGATGAAGAGTGCAAAGGTAAACATCAGTTTCTGTGAATCCCTTGACATGCCTCAATGCAGTAACTATTGGTGTATTGTTTTTTTTGAGAAAATGACAGTTAGGTCCCAAAAATTTTACTTAGTTACAGTCAGGTCCCAAAAAATCCTGCTGAAAGGTAAATTACGAATATCAATTCAAACAATTGCTCATATGGGAGTTTCAGTTTTAAATCACTGGGAGTCACTTACGAGACTTAAATGACTTGTTTGCAACTGAAATTCCCATATTTGCAATTGTTTGAATTGGTATTTCAACGCATTTTTCAAAAATATTGTGAGACTCAATTGTAATGATCTTTTGGGGCCCAAGTCATTCCCCCTTGCTTCATGGACGATATCATCATGACTGACAAGCCTCTTTTGATGAGATAAGTGAGATCAACCACAATAAAATCAGTAAAACCAAGGGATTATGCAATTAAGAGATCAGAAACTTTAGAAGGGACTTGAGTACACCAAAGTACTTTCCAAGTAATTGTTCCTGAATGTGTGCTAATTACTTAATAGCCTTTAACAACGCTTGTGTTTGCTTCCAACTTATCACTCTTTCCCCTTCAGTTTGCACAGATGTAAAAGAAAGCTTGTGAAATAATCTGGTTGGAAATAAGCCAAAGTATGCTCACGTTTGAAACCATATTGGGCTACAAGTTGGAAATGGAGAATATTTCAGTCTTTTTATTGTGCCGTAGATCTTTTAGGGTCCCTTTATCTAGAAGTTGAAGGAAAAATGTAAAAGTTCATTTATAGTTATGATGCACCTCTTCGTATTAGAATCCCTTGGATTGGAACCAGGAAAAGCTCGGATATTAGAAACAATGTTTAGAAAAATGTAATACAGGGAATTGGATTTTTGATAACTTGTTCAAAGATCCTCGAGTACTACTTTAAAGAATCACACATTCGATTAGTTTAAACCATTAGGTGAGGGCCGGACATAGCGTCAAATAATTTCTTGATTTGTTGATAGTTGGATAATCTTGTAATTTGTATACTTTATATGCTGTTGGTCTCAGACGATTCATTTAATTAGTTAATTATCTTCTGCTCTGTAGACAGGGGTGCATGGAAGAATTTTTTCTTCAGTTGATGGAAGGCCATTGCCCGGGTCTGTAACAATCAAGGGAATCAATTACACAGTATGTTTGAACTTTTGGTTAATTGTTTTTTAAACTCATGGATGCTTGTTTTCCCTTGAAGTTATGACAGTCAGCCTCATGTTTGGAAGTGCATTTCTTGCACATATTTGTTTTGATTAGCTTATGGTCCAGACGTCCTCTGCTTGGATAAACACTTGCAAGATACTATCTCCGTATTTCACATTTTCACGTGACTTCACAGACCTTGCTTGATTTAATATGTTTCGGGTCTGCTGATTCGTAACTAACAGGTCAGAGCTGGAAAACGTTTTGGCAACTACCATCGGTTACTTGTTCCTAGAGAAAGATATGAAGGTATTTTGTTGAATTTTGAAATATTTTGGTTAAAATGATGCTTGACAAAATATTTATTGACATTCCTGAGATATGATGTATTTTAGTGTGATTGAAGCTGTCTAGGTGGGGTCAGAAGTTGTTTGAATCAAATTTCAATTTATTGGTAGGGTCTACTATGGAAGTTAAACAATAAGACAATTGGCTGTTCGTTTGGCTGAATATTATATTGAATACAATATAATAAATTAATATTTTAGGGTGTAGCCTTGAACTTATTCTCTTACAGCGAACTAAACTGCAAATGAGAAATAAATCTTATTTATGTCAATTCAGAATGCATGATTCGCAAGAAAGAAAATGATTATATTTCTGGATGGAGGCTAGAAATAGTCAAATTTCAATTATACAGTGTTCAGAAATAGGGAAGTGAAATGGTTGAGAGAATTAGAAGAATGCAATTGTGTTTGTTAAAAAAGCTCTTCCGCATAAGATGATCCTGAACGTCTACTTATGCCAGCGCTTTAATGATTGAATTGACATTTATGCCCTTATATCTGGGGGCACTAAAATAAGTACCCTGCTTGGGTCATGAAGAAAAAAGTCTAAACTAATTTCTTAGTCCAAGACTTGTCTCAACATTCGTATAGTTGTACTCCTTGGTGCATAGAATGTTTGTATTTTTTGCCATTTCAGAGGGCTTCTTTTTGTTCTATTTATGGGATTATGTAATTAATAGTGTTTACATTATATTAATTTTATTCGTCTTATTAATTGAAGTCCTGCTCTGCCATTCTAACTGCATCCTGTTATCTCCTTTGGTAATCTTCTAGTAAGCAAGCAATAATATATGAAGGGATTTAGGAAATTCAGTAGGTTTAAACAAATAAACAGACGGTGCATGGACCAATCCAGGCCAAGCTAAGGCTGGACCTGAAAATTGATTTGATCGCAATGCAAGGCACATTGTTAGTCTGAACTAGACTCATTTTATCCCAGAGAGAATTGGGATGTGTTGGGATTGGGTCTCACATATTGAGCGTAGGCTAATTATTAGTAAAGACAAACTTCGACAGCTTCCTTGGGTATGGAGTGGAAAACCAACATTCTACCAGCTTTATTATTGTGAGGTATGAGGGTGGAAAGCCAGTACGCCAACTTTGCTGGTGTAACTTTGGGAATGGAGAATGGAAAACGTTAAAACAGCAAAACATTGATAGAGATGTTCCAAGCTTTGACAGGGATGCGTTGAAGTGGGTGAACGACAGTGGGGGATCAACAAAACAACAATGAGGGATAGAAAAACAACCATGGACACCGACAAAGGGGGTGAGAGGCTAATGATGGTAGGGCCACAAAGGAAAATGTCAAAGGGGTTTTGCCCTTGGTCTAGTGAGCTAATGGGTCAGTCTTAAATTGTGTCGGGTTAATTGACCTGTAACTTCGACTAACACAAACCAATTACCAAACTGTCAACTGTTTTTCTTTTAATCTCTTTCACGTTCAATAAGAGAATGAGAGACATTTATTTCATATGAAATTGAGGGCTAAGGGAAGATAAATTACACGGGGCTCAGTTTAGGTGTTGTATTCATGCATAATGTCTATTTTTCATCAAATATTTGGGCAACTATATTCCATTCTATTCTGGGAGAATTTCATTCGAGTTTACTGCTTTCTAATTTCTCGATCTTAACTGCAGTTATGGCCTCCATGCCTGGCTACAAATCAAAGAATACATCTATTTGGTTAGATGAAGGACCTGCGACAGTGGATTTTATTCTTGATCCAGAAGTTGCAGTCAAAGGGGCTGTTTTACAAAACATATACGATTGCAACTGCAGCAATAAATGCAAACTTGATTTTGTTGAGTTCCTTTGGGGTGCTCACTTGGAAGTCTATCTTGTGTTGATCCTTATTTTAGGATTTCTTTGTTTTGTTCAAAGAAGAATTAGAGGCAACTCAATGGGAAGCAAACGAATTGCTGTTTGATTGGAGGCTATAGATGATTCATTTGTACCAATTTCTCTGTATACTAAGAGGCGCGAAGAAATGAAGCTGCCTTATCATATAAAGTGTCTGACACGTAATGTTAGTTAAAACTACTGCATTCCTTAGTGTAAGAATGATTCTTTTGTAATTGAATCCAAATAAGCAATTTGCCATCTCCAATTTGTTCCAAAATACTAGACTTCATTACAGACTCTTGGCTAGTTTATTTTCCCATTATTATGAGATAAATCTTTAGATGAGAATCCTTTGATTCTAGTTGTACATTTAAGTTAATTTGGAGAGCCATAGAAGAAAGAGGAGGATATAGAGGCAGGGAAGAACCAATCAATCTCTCTTCTTTTCCATCTTCTTTGCGTTGGTGTTGATACTTCTGTAATAATGTCCAAAACATTTTAGGGACACCATGACATGAGCAAGTTTTCGTAGGAAATTTATCTTTTTATTTTTTATTTTATTTTCAAGTTACGTTGAATTTTTAACTTATATTTACATTTCACCCCATCCCACTAACCAGCTCGGAGAGATATTTTAGTATTACTGAGGACTGTAGTAATGTAGCCTTTAAGTTATATATTGACTTCAGCTCTGGTACCTCTTAAAATAATTGTTTTACAAGGTAAAGTTCATTTTGTAACCTTACAGGGCAAAAGTGCTTTTTAAGCTTATCCAAACGAATAATAATAATAGACCAGTTGATGTGTCTATGGGTCAGGCTAATTGATGGGGAAGTAATAGACCTATTAGGCCATGGGGTCCAAAGTCGTGAGGCAAGATCAAACAGTAACAGATTTCATGTCCGTATGAATGCACGAAACACCAACTTCTAAGACTTGACAATGTTCGAATCAAACTCGGTTAAATAGTCATGTAAAAAGAATAACCTACTTCATGTCATGTTAATTATACTAGCCTGTAAACTTGTAATGTACGGGGCCAACACTAGGATAAGATTGAACTAGTGCTAAGACTAACCGGGCATTGAAAGAGTTGGAAGAAGACAAGGCATATGAAGAGCAGCATTAAAGAGTTGAGCAGAAGCAGCACCAAATAATATGGATCTTCACTCTACCACTGCCTTTCCAACAATTTCACCATTTTTGAGAACGTGATTCTCATAAAATTTAGTACATATCTTCTTTTCTTTTCGCATAAGGCACCCGATATCCAAGGCCTGTACATGTCTTCTTTAACTGTACAATCTATGCGTAATTTGAAAAGATAGAGATAATGGTGGCTAGAGGTGAGACTCATCATTGTATCTAATCCCTCGGACTCCTATTTTAAGCAGCCTATAACAACTTTATATAAATTAATGAAGTTCGTTAAAATTAGTTATTTTGTAAGCCATTAGTTTAAGAAATTTGGTTAATTAGTTAAGGATGTTGGGTGGAAAAAAATTAATATTGAACAAAACATGTTATATTATGAAGCATGCTGGAGATGATTCTTATAATAACCGGTTGGAGTATTATTTTTTATGGTTAGAAATTTACCTTAGACCCTAACTAATAAATTTTAAAGTAGGGACCATATTGATATACTACTTCTGGTCCTTAATATAAGACCTCGTTTGATTTTTATTTTCGTCCTAATTATAAGGCTTCAATCCATTTTGTCTCATATTTATGCATTTTTTTCCAAGGTAGTTTCTCTAATAATGGTAGTTCTAGCCAATAAACTTGATTAGTAAGGATATTTTAGGAAAGACAACATATATTTATTACAAATAACTAATTTAACTTATTTCTTAATCTCCTCAAATTAGTCAACTAGCTTTTATAATTAGGACTGGAGGTAGTATAATTCTCCTAGCATCAATTTTTTTTTTTTGGTACACCAGATTTAAATTGAGACCTTACTCAGGAATAAGCATTGAACCACATAACCTGCTTTTTATTATAGGTTACTTGAGTGATTTAGAAAGTGTTATTCATACGTTGATCACTTATATGTCTACATCAGAGAGATCTAGAACCACCATCTATCTTGAAAGTTTTAGGTTGTTCAAGATTAATTGAAAAACCAAGAAAATCGTTCGACCAAGATGACAACTCAGTAACGATTGTTTAGTCATTATTGCATATGATTTTTCTTTACATTGCGATGGATGTCACCTTGGCGCGCGCGCGCGCGCACACACATATGTATAGTGATTATTTGACCGACTCAAACTCATGGAATTATTTTATTTATTTTGCTAATTAATTACACTTATTTGGTTTTTGTTCATGTGTTTTCTGTAACAGCCGAAGAGATTGAAGGCATGACTGTGACGTCATCACGTTCCTCAGAAACTATTTTGTTGAGTTGTCGCAATAATAAATCGAAATCATGTTGGCTCTTCACTAAGCTTAAACGAACATAACGGTTTTCCGTGCCAAACAGGCTGCCGGCGCGTCCAGTAATGTTGAGATTTTAAGAACTTGATAGCAGTCTCTATCTTCTTCCCTTTCACATTTCACCCACGCAAAAGCTGCACGAATTAACAAAATTATGTATAACATTAAAATAATCTATATTTATTTATTTCTATTTTATTAATGTGATATTAATAGTATTGAATTTCATTTATTGTCAAATTTAGAAAAGAAATCTATGCATAGCAAACCTCATATAAAATTTACAGTGTATAGCAACACTTTTCACCTCGTATAACTTAAAAAATCAATTAATAGTAGTAATCAAATATAAAATTCAAACTTCATACTAAGAAAATCCGCCTTATTCAAGGATACTAAAAATATTTGTTTCCTATTTTTTTTAAAATTTGAATCTAATATGCATGCCAAACATCAAGAAGGACAAACATGTGGATCATATTAACATTTTGTTCATGCCTCTGCCCCCAACCTCATTTCGTCCATTTGACTGTTCATTCATATGATTTAAGCTTGAAAATCCACATTTAATTAATTTCTTTAATCTCAAAAAAATAGTCATAATAGAGCCCAAGAGAAAGGAGCAGTGCGGTAATTAGCAAGAGATATATATTGGGGTACCTGGATATGGAGTCCTGAGTTGGTGGAAAAATGAACAATATTGAGGTTCAAGTTGCTGAATGGAAAATCGTGTTGATTGAGACATTGTTTGGCTGAGTTTCATCCATCTGCTTCTCATGATGTTGTGTCCAAACTCACTCATTTCCTTTCCATTTCCATTATGAAGAAGCACTTTTAAAAGCTTTAGGACTCTTAATTGAGTCTCTCTTGATACTCCAAAGGCAGTCAAATCAATGTATGTCAACATTTTTCTGTAAACAGCCTCATCCTTCACTATTGCCCACCTGATCAATCACATGTAGCGTTTGTATAGAATATTATATTAATTTGACAAAGTCTTTTGTCCATGTTTTTTGTGAAAATTTTTTTAGGAAAAATTAATTTGTCAGTCTTTTTAATTTTACTTAGTTTTCAATTAGGTTCCTATAGTTTTTTTTTCCTTTACTTTATTAGGTCCTATGATTTCCTTAGTTATAGCTAGGCGGCATTAGTCTCTATGCTCATAACATATGCTACTTAGAGATGATGTGGATGTCGACTAAGTGACATGCATAAGTTTCCTTAAATTAAAATATGAAATAAAAAGAGGTTTTTAAAATAAAATGATATAATGAAATTTATTTATTATCAACATAAAAAAAAATTATATGCAGATAACTGCTCCTTGCATCTATTTATAATATATAATTTTGTTGATTTTGATTTTATTTATATTCATATGGCAAAATTAATCAAGATGTACTATGTTGAATTTGAGCCGTGTTTATCATCAGTTACAAACATTGTTTCCTTTACAACTTAATAAATTATTAGTAGATGAACCAACATCTATAATTGATAAAATTTTAATGACTGGCTCGATGAAGAGCCAAGAAAGGAAAAGCTACAACAGCAAAATTGCCTCTAACCTCCGGAAAATTGAACTTAATTCAATTTGTAGCTTACCCAAATCTGCTTCCAGCATGGCCAGTGAGCTTAGACAAAGTAAAGATCATAAGATCCTCATCTGCAGGTTCTGGTATAGGTGTGAAGTGAGGCCAATAATAGGCAAGATCATGAACTTTCTTCACTGAAGGCCCTTCAAGAACAGCCTTCCTCAATCTCCCATCTGGGTTGTTTGGGGAAGTCACTAATTCAATTATGTTCGATGATGTTTTCAAATAATCATTATCTTCCTTCCACTTTGCACTATCCCACTGAATTTATAATCCTCTGCTTTGAAAAACTCAGTCTGCTCCTTATAAACCTGATGAAAGCTAATTGGATTAACTTCATATTCCTTGGACTCAGTCATACATAAAGGATATATCGACCAAACAGATCTTGCACTTAAACCTACCATAATTACTAATAGCAATAGGATCTACTTATTATATGCAAACCACTATTATTACTAGTAGCTCAACCTTTTAATTTTATTTTTTTCTCTTGACAAAAGTGCACCTTTGCTCCTCTAACATTATATAAGGTTTCAATTTGATCCCTTAATAATTTTATAAAATATATTTTCAATAATCTAACCCTATTGTTATTGGTTCCTAATGATGGCTTTTTTGGTCAATCATCACTATTATTTTAAAAAGAAAATAATATTAATATGTCAGCAGTTGTAAAAATCTTTTGCTAATTTAAAATTTCAATGTCAGCATCTTTTTGTTAATAAAACTAATGATGCTAAGGTTAAAGGAATAAAAAGACATTTTACAGAATTAAGAGATAGAAATGAAATCTTGTATGAAGCGAAAGGATTAAAGATGCATTTTTGCTTTTTTTTTTTAACAGATTATTATAGATAGGGTTTTTACTATAATAAGAATGTTTGGACACATTATAGTAAAAAACATTCCTTTCCCAATTACTATGAAAGTCACTTAATTCAAGGAGTAAGCCATTCATTAGATGAAAGAAAGAAAGAAGAAGGAGAAGTTTACTATAGGCTAGGGTTTTGAGCATTTACTGGATAATATGGGATGGAGGCGACAACATTTGAAAGTGAGGCTGAGGCAGAATGTTGATGGGAAAG